ATTTAATTCTTATTAATCCCCCTTATGTAATGAGTGGAAGCAAAGGCTTAAAGAGAGAAATAGCAAAGAATTCAGATTTAAAGAAATTTTATAAAGTTAATGCCATGGGTTTAGAAGGCTTATTTATGGAATGAATTATCAAAGCATTAAAGCCAAAAGGGCAAGCATTTGTAGTTATTCCTGATGGAATTCTTAATCGGCGAAACAATGGAAAATTAAGACAGTTTATCCTAGATGATTGCTACATTGATGCCATAATTTCACTTCCTATTAATACCTTTTTTCGCAACTCTAAAAAAACTTACATTTTAGTTTTAACTAAAAAAGAAAAAAATGAAAATGGTAATTCAGAAAAACAAACCGACCCAGTGTTTACTTATTTAGTTAGTGAAATTGGAGAGAGCAGAGATATTAATAGATTTGACATCGGGCAAGATGATTTAACCGAAGCCGTGGAACTATTTAACTCTTTCAAAGGAAACAAAAAAAATTTTCATAAGTTTCAGGGAATAAAATCCGATAAAAGATGTAAATTGTGGAAAATTGAAGACTTTAAACCTGATAAAGACTGGTCTGTTGATAGATGATGAACAAAAGAAGAGTTGGTTGAAATTGGCGTTATTAAAGAAAAAAAGATTGCTGACTTAAACACTTTTGGCGAATTGGTTGAAAATGTATCAGACAGATTAAAAGATTTTAGTAATTTCATAAAAGAAATTGGCAAAGATGAGAATAAACCAAATGGTTTTAAGGAGATTTTGCTATCTGAAATTTTTGAAATTAAAAAAGGATTTACTAAATACACTAATGAATTTATCAACAAAAATTCTGGTGAATATCCAGTTTATTCATCTCAAACAACTAGTGATGGTGTAATAGGAAAAATTAATTCTTATGATTATGATTGTGAGTGTTTAACTTGAACAACTGACGGATATGCAGGAACTGTTTTTCTGAGGAAAGGTAAATTTAGCATAACAACTCACTGTGGAGCATTGATACCCAAAAATGATAACAAAAATCTGCTATTAAGTTATTTACATTTCTATTTGTCAGAGAATTTGAAAGAATATGCGGTGGGCAGTCAAAACAAACGAATTAC